CTTTTAAACTATTCTCTCCCTCATCTGTTTCAATGCAGTATATGTAATTTATCCAGTTTTTTCTCATTCTTACCCCAACCCTGATGCCAGTCCATTCTACAGAAATGGCACTATGCAGTGTTTGTCCTTTCGTAACTGAGATATTTCACTCAGCATAATGTCCTCCAGGGTCACCCATTTTGAATAATATTGCATGGGTTCCTTCTTTTTCAATGCAGCATAGTATTCCCTTGTGTGATATACCACAGCTTTTCTATCCATTCGTTTGTTGATGGGCACTTAGGTTGCTTCCAGCTGCTTGCTATTGTGAACAAAGCCATGATAAACATGTGTGTGCATATGTCTACTTGGATGGCAGACATGGTCTCTCTGGGGTATATTCCCAGTAGTGGAATTGCTGGGTCAAATGGTATCTCTATTTGAAACTTTTTGAGAAAGTGCCACACCACTTTCCACAAAATCACAAGACCACATCCATCTTTCTCCTTCAGAGCAGCTAATGAATATAAACTCCCTGCCTTTGTATTTATAACCTTCACTTTAAGGCAGAGGTTATTACTCTGAACTCAGCCCCAAAGCATAAGAAGCTAGTAAAAAGTTATAAGCACAAACTGAGCACCAAGTTTCAGGCACGTTATTTAAACTCTAGACAATCCTATGAAGTACATGTGCTTTGCTATTGTTGTTGTTGTTGTTGTTGTTAAGTGCCGTTGAGTCGCAGGCGACTCATAGCGACCCTATGAAGGAGAATCCTTGACTCTTGGGTACCTTTCATCCTTTCTCCAGGTTCATAAAGTTTCCGGAGGCAAGCTATTATGGAAGTGGATGCCACTCCTCCTTCCACGCTTGTTTTAATTGGGGAGCTCCACCCCACTCTCTGTCCACATTGGGTAGCCAACCATTAACGCATTTGACACATGCATGTCACAGTATTCAGCCTCATAGCAACCATAAATGACCACAGGACGGCAACTTATACACCAGGGCTATATGACCTAGAGGAATGTCTGAACAAAAAGTACCATCAAATTGAAACCAAATCCTAGCTGACTCTCTTATGGAGTTCTCAGAGACAATAAATTACATGAGAAGAGATTGTTGTTGTTGATGTGTGCCATTAAATCACTTGCTAGTCATAACAGTCCTATGTACAACGGCTCTGAACCCTGCTCTATCCTGTGCCAACTTCATTATCTCTAACACACCATTACCCCAGTCTGAATCGATCCATCTCATCAAGGGTCTCCTCTCTTGTGCTGTCCCTACACCCTCCCAAGCATGACGTCCCTCTCCAAGGACTGGTCCCTCCTTGCAACATGCTTCAGAGGAAGCCTCAGAATCCTTGCCTCCAAGGAGCAGGCTGGTGTCACCCTCTCTAGGATGAACCTGTTTGTTTTCCTAGCAGCCAATGTTATGTATATTCAATACTTTTCTCCAGCACCACAGCTCAAAGGCAATATGCTCCTTCTATCATCCCTAACCATTGTCCACCTTTCTGACACATAGCAAGTAATTGCAAAAACTATGGCCTGGATCAGGTGTACCTTAGTCTCCAGACTGATACCATTGCTTTTCAGTACTCTGGAGAGGTCCCTGACAGCAAACTTTCCCAGTGCAATTTGTCTCATAATTTCGGGCTGCTGGTAACAAGAGTGTTAATTATGGAGCCAGACAAACTAAAACTTAATAATCTCCATCTCTTCACCATCTATCATGAGGCTGGCAATTGGCCCAGTGGTAAGAATCTTTGTCTTTTTAATGTTGGGCTTCAATCCATATTGTAGACTATAGTCCTTGATCTTCTGCAGCTTGTGCTTCAGGCCCTCCTCAGTTTCAGCAAGCAGAGTTGTGTAATCTACATAACACAGGTTGTTGATGAGTCTTCCTCTGATCCTGATGTCACACTCCTCCTCATAGAGTCCAGCCTCCCAAATGATCTGTTCCACATATAGAATGAAAAGGTATGGAGAGAAGACAGATCCCTGGCATCCCGATTTTGAACCAAGCAGTGTTTCCTTGCTCTGTTCTGACAACTGCCTCCTGGTCCAAGTATAGGTTTCACATAAGCATAATCAAGTGTTCTGGGATTCCCACTCTTCTCAGAGTCAGCCACAGGTTGTTGTGATCCACACAGTCAAATGTCTTTGCATAGTCAATAAAACAGATATCCCTCTGGTACTTTCTGCTTTCAGCTAAGATCCATCTAACGTTAGTTATAATATCTCTAGTTCCACAGCCTCTACTAAACCCAGCCTGCACATCTGACAGTTCTCTGTTGATGTGCAGTTCAAGCCATTTTTGGATAATTTTCAGCAGAATCCTACTTGCATGTAATACCAATGATATTGTTTGATAATATCCACACTCTGTTGGGTCGCCTTTCTTTGCAATGTGAACAAATAAGATTACTCATCTTTTTCATCTGGATCTTCTGGTGGATCTGAACTGTGTGCCTTTGGCTTGGCAGTGAAACACCTCACCACTAGGCCACTAGAACTCTCTAGATGTGCTATGTCATTGTTGTTTTGTTGTGTGCCCTCAAGTCAGAATCAGCCCACAGCTGACCTGCCAGTGATTTTCTTTTTTTTCCTATAATTATATTTTATTAATTTTCATAAACATTTACAGAGATTT